CCCCAAAACCCCAAAACCCCAAAACCCCAAAACCCCTTAATGCAAATTTATATAAATGATTGCTGAATAAATAATTAACTTGAAGTGTTAAAAGCAATGAATATATGTTAACGCTATGAGTCTTATATAAAGGGTTCGAAAAGTAGTATTTTCAAGCAACGTTATTAGATGGCTTATCTAAATCCTAAGCTTTCTTAGCATCATCCTTGGGTACGGGTGCTGGTTGAGATTTACCTTTGTTGTAGTTATCGTTCTTGGTGATGAAATCATGTAGACTAGCTGGTTGTCTGTTGCCACCAACCTCTTCATCAACCAGGTAGCAGTGAAGAATTGAATTAGCTGCGAAAGAGTAAACTGATAGGAAAACTGAGGCTAGGATGTAGGCTATGATGCAAACCACAATAATTGGGAAAACTGGAGAATAAATCTTGTCTTTCAAATCTGAATTCATCATGATTAGATAGGCAATCCACCCAGAGAAAATGATGATGAGAGCCTTACCAACGAATATAAGAATGGCTCCGATGCTTGTAATGATTGAAAATCTAGCAACATTTCTAACAATCAAGCAGAAAGTCAGCCAAGCAGCTGAGCAGAAGTTTTTGTTAGTGAGGGCAATTTGAATATAAGCGTTCTTAGTGATGAACTTGACACAACAGTCAAGACACCAAATGAAGCATCTGAGGCAGCAGATAACACATTTGGTACATGGGTTGTTTGGAATAATCTTTTCGTATTTCTTTCTCAAGTACTCGAAAGCAAGCTTGATCATTTGCATAATGGCAATGATAAGAGCGCCAAATGCAATTGAACCCATGTGATATCTAAAGATCCATCTGAATCCAGTACTGAGAGATGCCTTTGCCTTGTCGTCACCTTGTCCACCATGCGAAAAGTACCAGACGCAAGTTGTAGCAGCAATAATAAATTAAGCACATCCGATGATGAATGCACTGACCCAGAATAAACCAAAAAGATGATAAATCCAGACATATCTAGTAGTACTGTTCCACTCAATATCAGCTAATGGAAGTCCTTATCTCTTGACTGGGTCGCCTACTGAGAACACCCAAATAGCAGAGAATATCCAGAATGTTACCCACACTGCAATAATAAAGAAGAATATAAAAGGCACAAAGAATATCTGAGGGGTATTTCTAACAAAGTCAGAGGCTGCTTCCATAATAGCTATTCCTAATCTGATTCTTGAACAACAGCATAGAAGTATGATGGAATACAGTCCACATAATATCCATAGTAAAATACCCATACCCCTCATTACTGATCTAGTGTGATCTCCTGATTCATATCTGTCCCCCAGATAGAAAACATAAAAACCTCCACCAAGAAGAAGAGCAAATATCAATACAAATGATATGTAGAGAAGTGGTTTGGCAGCACATCTTAGCAAGAATAAATAGATTAGACAAAGGACCAATGAAATGCCAAGCATAATTAGGAAAATATACCAAGCAGTTCCGAGATCTCCCATATATCTTCCTAGATTTCCACTGGACACATTTTCCAATAGATAGTCTTTGGCAGTTGTTATGTTAGGTAAACAGAATCTTGATAGATCTAAATCGTTATATAAGTTTAATAATAGTGAATAATTACATCCATAAGTGGAGAACTTCTATGCTTTGGGGCATGTAGTGTAAACCTTATTTGTATAGCAGATAGAGGTCTCACCATACTTGGGACAATTCTTTACACACACAGTCATATCAATGACTTGTCTATTTGTCGCACTAAACTCATCTATTCTAGGCCAGAACAGATATGAATAAGCAGTCAAGTTTCCAGAGCCACATTGGTTTCCTGATAAAATATGATACTTGAAATATACCTGAAGAGTCGTAGGGATTGATAAGTTTCGTGGGATCACCCTTGTAATAGCCATAGGCAGCGGTGGCGAACATACCACAGAAGAATAAGAAAAATATCAGACACATGAGCACATCTGTGCATGATCTATCCATCACCATACCTTGCTTGATTCCATCAGGAGTCTTGTTTTTTTCATCATTCTATTATGAAGGTTTGTTATGATTTCGAAAGATAATCAAGATTGAATAGTATATTGAAGGATATATTTAGGAGTGTGATACTTACAGCCTGCTTGACATCCTTTTCGGCATAGCCTGAATCACCCGAACACATTTTATTTCAATAATAAAATTAAACTATTATTTGTCTTTAGATATTATAACTACCCTCTAGATTTAAAATTGATATCATCTTCTAACTATTAAGCTAATTAAAATATTAGACCTTGGACGATGGCTTGAAAACAAATTAAATAATTGAGTTATAATTATTAATAATTTTTCTATGTCAGATAATACTATTGCAGAGTTAGTTTTCAAGCAACTTCAAGAAGTCCCTGAAAATACTAGATGCTTCGACTGCGGTAAGTAACATTTGAAAGTGAACCTCCCTTTATTATTACCAATCATTGAATAGCATTTTAATGAATAATTTATAGGTTCTTCCCATCCATCCTGGACATCAATCAGCAATGGTTCATTTATATGTCTGAATTGCTCAGGCATCCACAGAAGTCTAAGTGTTACTTACAGCACAGTACGCTCATTAAACTTAGATTCATGGTCTGAGAAGCAACTTAAAATGATGTCATGTGGTGGCAACAAGCTTCTTTACGAGTACTTCCAAGGCTATGATCTTAATGAAGAAAGTGTTCAAATGAGATATAGAACTAAGGCAGCTGAATTTTACAGATCTAGAGTAAGTTTACACTATTCGATAAATATCCCAAACTACAATGATATAATGCCTAAATTTATCAAATACTAATTAACTATTAATTTGTAGCTACGATGCCTTGCCGAAGGTGTACCTTTCAACGATGAAAAACCAGGTTATGATAAGGGAAGAGAAGTGATTATTGAACAGTCTAGATCTGCTGCTGAGATTATGCAAAATAACCCACCTTTCTAAAACAACAATTAATAATAAGAGCAATAATAATCAGGATGGTTCTCAAATCCAATTATGACTTCCCTATGGGGCTACACAGCAAAAGCACTTGAGAAGGGTTAACAAGCGGTGACTGTCGTAGGTTCTAAAGTTTAGGAAAAATTAGATGGCACTGGCATCGCTGAAAATGTCTCAAGCCTGTTGAATACTGCTACTGAAAACACAAAGGCTTTTGGATCGAAGATTATGGAAAAGGGAGCAGAAACCTATGAATCGGCTTAGCAAATGGCTAAATAAGAATAATATTGAGCAAAAAAAGGAAGGCAATCAGAGAAACTAACAGAAGAACTTTAAAGAGTTCGAGCAAGAAGAAGATTAAAAAGAAGAGGATGACTTAGAATTAGAAATCAATAAGAAGTAGAAAATTTCCAGCTTTAAAGAATAGTATAAATCTAAATACTCTGATAGTGAGGACTCTGACGACAGCTATTTCCTTAAAAAGCAACCAAGTAATACTCAAAAGTAATCTTAGAAAAACTTAGTGTAAGAGGAAACTATTACGCTCAAGACACAAGAATCGAATTTAGATGAAATCTAAAGACTCAAAAACAAGTATAGATTCACCTCTTCCGATGAAGATGAATCAGAGCAAGAATAAGTTAAAGAATTAAAACAATAAATCAAATTTTAAGAGGAATCAAAAGTAAAACCTAATTTATCTATCTCGAGATAAAGTTCTCAGACATTGCGGTAATCTGAATTCAAAGAGGATAGTAAATCCTCATAAAGTTTAGAAGATGAATAATTTAAAAGATTCTAAGAAAGGGAAAGACAGCTCTAAATTTAATAACAATAGATACTACAGCAGTAAGAATAGTAAAACTATCAAAGATAGTTAATGCAATAATAACAGTCAGACGAACTAGATAAATTTGCTGAAATCAAGAACAGGCCTAGCTTAATTTCTTAGAAAAAATCTAAAAGAAGGAATAATAACGACAGTGATGATGAAGATGGGAGTGAGCTAGATTTTTACCAATTGTCAGATATAGATACCTCAAATCTTTTACAAAGCACTGTGAAGAAGTAACGATAAAATGAAGATTTGGAAAAAAGTAGAGACTATTAGGATTCTCAATAGGATGAATAATAATTTGATGATGACATAGATGATCATCCAATTCTTAAATCTTCCATTGCTAAGGTCGCTTCACTACTTGATTCTTAAGTACTAAACTATGACAGATTGCTTTCTGACAGATCTGAAACAAGCATTTAAAAACAAAATGGGCGAATAGAATAAAACTTGAATGAAAAACATTTTAGCTCAAACGAAATAACTTTCAACGATTTAAATTCTCTTAGCTCTTCTAAAAATGATTAAACTTATTAAAACCAGCAACAAAGAGTTCCCTATCATAAAGATTAATAAGAATAGAGAGATGAGAGATTAGTCATTCCGAGATAAAATTCTAGTCTTAAGCAATAACAGCCTGTTTATCAAAGTGTTATTAAGGAAGAAGATCTAGAGGAATCTTCAATAATGAATGAATCGCTAAACTATTCATCATAAGCCTCAAATTAAAACATGGGATCATCATATCTTTAATCAAAACTCTCAAATTTGAGACATTAAACCTTTAACTATGAAGAGAAGAATACTAATAAAAACATAAGTATGAAAGAAAACAAAGAAAATTATAGAGTAAATTCTTTAGAAAATAAAACTATTTAGAATCCAAGAATTAATGCAATGATAATTAGATTACTTTTAGAAAAGAAGGAATAAAAAAAGGTTTAATAAGGATTCAATAAATGGAAAGAATTGTAAATTAAAGGTGTTTATGAGAGCAAATTAAAAAATGCAGCAATGATGGTTGATAAAATGTCTAAATTCTCGAGAAGTTTTATATCCTTGAACTCTTTGAGTTAAATTATATAAAAGAACAAGCAAAGAGTAATTGCAAAATCTTTTATTAAATGGATCAAGAATACAGCTCCAAAATAAATTGCAAAGTAGCAAGATTCATCAAATGATAAAGAATTTATCAGACAATTGCAAGATCAACTAAATTAAAAAGACTAAGAGATTTATAAGATGGAATAGATGTTCAAAGAGTACTCAAATTGGAAATAAAAGCTTGAACAAATAGAGTAAAAAATGAAGTAAGAGTGTGATTATTGGAGATCTTCATGCGAAAAATTGTAAAAAGAAAATGAGAAACTATAAAAAGAAGCTATCAAAATAACGTAAAATCTAATGGAAAGGACCAAGGATATTGAATCAAAATAGATTACAATAGATTCATTGTAGAAAAAGCTTAAACAAGCTAAAAGCTAGGCTGTTCCCTTAGACACTGTTGAAGAAGTGGTATGTTAAAGCTGTAAAAATAGCCTGGAAGAATCATAAATATTTACAGGCAGACTATCAACTAATAGAGGGGGTGTCGAGCATTAATACTCCTAATAAGATTTCGCTATTATAAATCAGTTAAATGAAAAATTAGGTGAACTAGAAAAGCAAGTTATGATATATAGAGAGAGGGTCCATTATCATGAAAGCATTGAAGAGGAACTTAAAAAGAATATAGAATCTTAAGTTGATGTAGTATTGAAAATGGAAGAGGAAAGATTATTGCTACTTAAGGAAAACAAGGAAATGAAAAATAAAACTTAGCATCTAACATTTGAGAATGATGACTACAAAGCTAAGATTAACCTCTTTGAAAAAGAACTTGAAGAGTTGCAAGAGTAGATCAGAGAACAATAGTAGCTTTCTGAAAAGATGATGCAAGAGAGAGAGTCTTCTTAACAAAAATAAAGTAAACTTGATGAAAGCGATGAAAGTGATTCATAATCATAATATTCAAAAGTCATAAATAAAGAAAATAAAACATCCAATACCTCAATAATAAAAAAGAAGCCAAATGCACTAACTAACAAATCTAAAGTAAAAAAACCAACTCAGTTAAAGTTCCAATCCACTAACTAGTCTAAAATCGGAGAAAACTCTGCAATATTTAGTTCATCATTAAAATAAGCGATTTAATAGTCTGAAAATGATACCAAATCAAAATATGGAGCAGAACCAATCAATAAATAACTCGTTACTGATAACCAACTTCTTACGAATGAATTAGTTATGATGGGAAGAGAAATATCTAAACTGAAGGCAGAGCTTAGAACTACACAAGAGACTTTAAAGAAGTCTGAGAAAGAAAAATACGATTGCAGGAAAAATCTTGAAGGTAAAGATACTGCTGTTGAAAAACTTAGAAAAGAAAGGGATGAACTATGGGCTGTAGTCAATACTGATAAATACAAAAATCTAAGAAACTTAGAACAAGATAAGGAAAAAATTGAAAAGAGCAAATAAGATTTAGAAAATTAGATCATTTAACTAAAAGATCAAATTCAGATTTAATAAGATTAATTATAGAAACAAGAAATAAGAGTTCAGGAGCTAGATTTTACTAGCACTCGTCTCAAGGAAAAAGATTTCTAGAGAGAGAAACTTCTTGAAGCATTGGATGAAAAGACTAGAAAAGCAGAAATTGAACTAAATCAATCCAAGTCCTGTATGTCTTAATTGCATGAAGAAAATGAATAGCTAAAGCAAGAAAACATGAAACTTAAGAAAGATGTAGATTGGCTTGCAAATTCAGCTAAAAATAACAAACTATAAGCTGAAAGAGCGATCAATGATCTTGAAGCTTATACTAAAATATTGAGAGGAATGGAGAAGAAATTAGCAGAAGTTGAGATAGAGAAAGAAAGTAAGGAAGCTGATCTAAGGGAGCTCAGGACAAGAAAGATGGGAATCACTTAGTAGGCTTAAATAAACTAAATACCTGCATAGTCTTTCTCAATGATTAACTAGAGTCTCTTGAGTGGGCAGCAAATTAATTCAAACTAATGGCACAACATTTCACAGTAGTAAATTCCTTAGCCTTATATGACTCAAGGTTAATAGTAATCTTTATAAATGTGGTAACAATAAAATTAATAGCCTTTGCCTAATGTGATGCCTAGAAATATTCCATAGCCTCATTAACCTCCAACAAGATTCCAATGAGAATAAGTAGGATTAATCTTTAATTTTATAAACCTGATAATTGCTAAAATTTCCATTATTTGGGGTTTTGGGGTTTTGGGGTTTTGGGGCCCCAAAACCCCAAAACCCCAAAACCCCATAATGATAGATAAAGTCAGATCAATAAATTCTGGGAAATAAATTTAAATTTGAATTGCTTTAAAATGTCCCTTGTAGATCAATTTTTGGCGGATGATAACGAGGAGTTAATCCAATATACTCAACCAGCAGCTGTGATTTCAACTTAGTCTATGAACAAAAACTTGAGTTCCACAAACTTTAAGTAGCAAATTGAAAATAATAGTCATGGTCAATCAAATAGTGGCAGTGCTTCTGGTGTATCGAGGAAACAGATGCTCTAAGACTTTAAAAAGAAATATAATTTCTATAATGATTCTTCATCTGAAGAGGAAATAGATGAGTAGGATTATAGCAAGAAGGAAGATAAAGATGAGGAATCAGATTTAGATTAAGAAAGCAAAGAAGTAGAAAATTATGATGAAGAGGAGCAGGAATAAAAGGATCAGGAGCATTAAAAATATGAGGAAGATGAAGAGGAGGAAGAGGATGATGAGGCTAGCGAGATTTAACATAAAGACTTCAGAAAATACAGAAAATTTAGTGATGAGTCTGAAGACTATGAAGACCAAAAGAAAGAAACTAATGAATCGGCTTAGAAATATGTAAATAAGAATAATATTGAGCAAAAAAAGGAAGGCAATCAGAGAAACTAACAGAAGAACTTTAAAGAGTTCGAGCAAGAAGAAGATTAAAAAGAAGAGGATGACTTAGAATTAGAAATCAATAAGAAGTAGAAAATTTCCAGCTTTAAAGAATAGTATAAATCTAAATACTCTGATAGTGAGGACTCTGACGACAGCTATTTCCTTAAAAAGCAACCAAGTAATACTCAAAAGTAATCTTAGAAAAACTTAGTGTAAGAGGAAACTATTACGCTCAAGACACAAGAATCGAATTTAGATGAAATCTAAAGACTCAAAAACAAGTATAGATTCACCTCTTCCGATGAAGATGAATCAGAGCAAGAATAAGTTAAAGAATTAAAACAATAAATCAAATTTTAAGAGGAATCAAAAGTAAAACCTAATTTATCTATCTCGAGATAAAGTTCTCAGACATTGCGGTAATCTGAATTCAAAGAGGATAGTAAATCCTCATAAAGTTTAGAAGATGAATAATTTAAAAGATTCTAAGAAAGGGAAAGACAGCTCTAAATTTAATAACAATAGATACTACAGCAGTAAGAATAGTAAAACTATCAAAGATAGTTAATGCAATAATAACAGTCAGACGAACTAGATAAATTTGCTGAAATCAAGAACAGGCCTAGCTTAATTTCTTAGAAAAAATCTAAAAGAAGGAATAATAACGACAGTGATGATGAAGATGGGAGTGAGCTAGATTTTTACCAATTGTCAGATATAGATACCTCAAATCTTTTACAAAGCACTGTGAAGAAGTAACGATAAAATGAAGATTTGGAAAAAAGTAGAGACTATTAGGATTCTCAATAGGATGAATAATAATTTGATGATGACATAGATGATCATCCAATTCTTAAATCTTCCATTGCTAAGGTCGCTTCACTACTTGATTCTTAAGTACTAAACTATGACAGATTGCTTTCTGACAGATCTGAAACAAGCATTTAAAAACAAAATGGGCGAATAGAATAAAACTTGAATGAAAAACATTTTAGCTCAAACGAAATAACTTTCAACGATTTAAATTCTCTTAGCTCTTCTAAAAATGATTAAACTTATTAAAACCAGCAACAAAGAGTTCCCTATCATAAAGATTAATAAGAATAGAGAGATGAGAGATTAGTCATTCCGAGATAAAATTCTAGTCTTAAGCAATAACAGCCTGTTTATCAAAGTGTTATTAAGGAAGAAGATCTAGAGGAATCTTCAATAATGAATGAATCGCTAAACTATTCATCATAAGCCTCAAATTAAAACATGGGATCATCATATCTTTAATCAAAACTCTCAAATTTGAGACATTAAACCTTTAACTATGAAGAGAAGAATACTAATAAAAACATAAGTATGAAAGAAAACAAAGAAAATTATAGAGTAAATTCTTTAGAAAATAAAACTATTTAGAATCCAAGAATTAATGCAATGATAATTAGATTACTTTTAGAAAAGAAGGAATAAAAAAAGGTTTAATAAGGATTCAATAAATGGAAAGAATTGTAAATTAAAGGTGTTTATGAGAGCAAATTAAAAAATGCAGCAATGATGGTTGATAAAATGTCTAAATTCTCGAGAAGTTTTATATCCTTGAACTCTTTGAGTTAAATTATATAAAAGAACAAGCAAAGAGTAATTGCAAAATCTTTTATTAAATGGATCAAGAATACAGCTCCAAAATAAATTGCAAAGTAGCAAGATTCATCAAATGATAAAGAATTTATCAGACAATTGCAAGATCAACTAAATTAAAAAGACTAAGAGATTTATAAGATGGAATAGATGTTCAAAGAGTACTCAAATTGGAAATAAAAGCTTGAACAAATAGAGTAAAAAATGAAGTAAGAGTGTGATTATTGGAGATCTTCATGCGAAAAATTGTAAAAAGAAAATGAGAAACTATAAAAAGAAGCTATCAAAATAACGTAAAATCTAATGGAAAGGACCAAGGATATTGAATCAAAATAGATTACAATAGATTCATTGTAGAAAAAGCTTAAACAAGCTAAAAGCTAGGCTGTTCCCTTAGACACTGTTGAAGAAGTGGTATGTTAAAGCTGTAAAAATAGCCTGGAAGAATCATAAATATTTACAGGCAGACTATCAACTAATAGAGGGGGTGTCGAGCATTAATACTCCTAATAAGATTTCGCTATTATAAATCAGTTAAATGAAAAATTAGGTGAACTAGAAAAGCAAGTTATGATATATAGAGAGAGGGTCCATTATCATGAAAGCATTGAAGAGGAACTTAAAAAGAATATAGAATCTTAAGTTGATGTAGTATTGAAAATGGAAGAGGAAAGATTATTGCTACTTAAGGAAAACAAGGAAATGAAAAATAAAACTTAGCATCTAACATTTGAGAATGATGACTACAAAGCTAAGATTAACCTCTTTGAAAAAGAACTTGAAGAGTTGCAAGAGTAGATCAGAGAACAATAGTAGCTTTCTGAAAAGATGATGCAAGAGAGAGAGTCTTCTTAACAAAAATAAAGTAAACTTGATGAAAGCGATGAAAGTGATTCATAATCATAATATTCAAAAGTCATAAATAAAGAAAATAAAACATCCAATACCTCAATAATAAAAAAGAAGCCAAATGCACTAACTAACAAATCTAAAGTAAAAAAACCAACTCAGTTAAAGTTCCAATCCACTAACTAGTCTAAAATCGGAGAAAACTCTGCAATATTTAGTTCATCATTAAAATAAGCGATTTAATAGTCTGAAAATGATACCAAATCAAAATATGGAGCAGAACCAATCAATAAATAACTCGTTACTGATAACCAACTTCTTACGAATGAATTAGTTATGATGGGAAGAGAAATATCTAAACTGAAGGCAGAGCTTAGAACTACACAAGAGACTTTAAAGAAGTCTGAGAAAGAAAAATACGATTGCAGGAAAAATCTTGAAGGTAAAGATACTGCTGTTGAAAAACTTAGAAAAGAAAGGGATGAACTATGGGCTGTAGTCAATACTGATAAATACAAAAATCTAAGAAACTTAGAACAAGATAAGGAAAAAATTGAAAAGAGCAAATAAGATTTAGAAAATTAGATCATTTAACTAAAAGATCAAATTCAGATTTAATAAGATTAATTATAGAAACAAGAAATAAGAGTTCAGGAGCTAGATTTTACTAGCACTCGTCTCAAGGAAAAAGATTTCTAGAGAGAGAAACTTCTTGAAGCATTGGATGAAAAGACTAGAAAAGCAGAAATTGAACTAAATCAATCCAAGTCCTGTATGTCTTAATTGCATGAAGAAAATGAATAGCTAAAGCAAGAAAACATGAAACTTAAGAAAGATGTAGATTGGCTTGCAAATTCAGCTAAAAATAACAAACTATAAGCTGAAAGAGCGATCAATGATCTTGAAGCTTATACTAAAATATTGAGAGGAATGGAGAAGAAATTAGCAGAAGTTGAGATAGAGAAAGAAAGTAAGGAAGCTGATCTAAGGGAGCTCAGGACAAGAAAGATGGGAATCACTTAGTAGGCTTAAATAAACTAAATACCTGCATAGTCTTTCTCAATGATTAACTAGAGTCTCTTGAGTGGGCAGCAAATTAATTCAAACTAATGGCACAACATTTCACAGTAGTAAATTCCTTAGCCTTATATGACTCAAGGTTAATAGTAATCTTTATAAATGTGGTAACAATAAAATTAATAGCCTTTGCCTAATGTGATGCCTAGAAATATTCCATAGCCTCATTAACCTCCAACAAGATTCCAATGAGAATAAGTAGGATTAATCTTTAATTTTATAAACCTGATAATTGCTAAAATTTCCATTATTTGGGGTTTTGGGGTTTTGGGGTTTTGGGG